GCTACTCGGAAGGCTGAGGCGGAAGGATCACCGGAGCCCAGCAGGTCGAGGCTGCAGTGGCCGGGAGCGGCCACTGCACTCCAGTCTGGGTGACAGAGTGAGACTCCAACTCAAAAAAAAAAAAAAAAATTTCAATATAGGTATTGTCTTGTATTGACATTAAAATATATTTGTGAATCAGACAACTAATTTATATATTTTAATTCATGAATTTTTTTTAGTTTACTAATTTGTTGCTTTTCATTGTCCCAGCAATAATATTTTGTTAAAAGTATAAACCCTTAAAAAATATATATCTTTCTCCAAGAAATTTGTTTAAGTCTAAGGAAATTAGAGTAAAAACTGTAGATGCCTCAATGAAAATTAAGTCTCTGTACTTTCCATTTTACTCCTTTTGACTGTGCTAGGCATGTTGTCATTATAAACCATGTATAAGCCTCTTAAGCACTGTTATTATACAGAAGAGTTCCTGATAACACACAACAAGAAAGATGGATAATCACAGAGTAATCTACTCAAAACTGAATTTGCCCCAAAACCTGAAGAACCAGGAGAGAAACTCTAAGAGCAATAAAAGCTCCATTTTAGTAACTGAACAGGAAATAACCTATGCGGAATTAAGCCTTCAAACTGCTTCTCAGGATCTTCTAGACAATGACAAAACTTGCCACAGCAAAGGTAAGGCATTTCATACATCCTCAATGTAATTGTCCGGGATGAGCAGCTTGGGTAACAGGATATGGGAAAAGAAGAGGTAGTGCTCACATTTTTTAAAATATGTGAATATCAGAGTTCCATGATGAGTTATGCTATTTTAAAATAAAATATAGATGTCATTTTTACCCGGACATTGTTGAAATCTGTAGTTTTTTTCCAGCAAATCACAGAGCATTATATTTACTCAAAATGCAATGGTACACTCTAAGAAAAACATTATTGTGAGTTATGCAGTTTGGGGTCCAAGTTTATATATATGATTCTTATGCATGTAGGTTCTCTTGTCTGCAAATTCTCTAAATAACTGTCTCCATTTCTCTTTTCTCTGTGTTTTTATTTCTCTCTCTATAGATTTATCATCACCTCCAGAAAAGCTCATTGCTGGCATCCTGGGAATTATGTGTTTGGCATTAATAGTGACCATGGTAACAATAGTTATTATTCTTTGTAAGTATATTTTGTACAAATAAAGGAGAGCTTTTCACCTAAATGAATAAAAATGCCTCTAAATATTTTCAATATTGAGGAATACAATTCTCATTTTTATATTTTTTGAACTAAATGTGTAATGATTGTTCTGAATTTGTAAAAAGCATAAATGAAAGAATAATTATAAAAAAGTATTTGCTTTAATTAGATATATATGCTCTGATTTCAAACTCCAAAAAGATGCTTTACATATTGAGAAACCTTACTAAGAAATAGAAATTAATTTTTGAAAGCTGACTAAATCAAGTACTGTATGAGATATTGAATTTGGTTCCTTGCACTATAAAAATATTTATTCAAAATCTCAATTACTTTATGTATTTTTTGTTGTACAGTTCTATATTTTTCAATATCTGAACAATATGCCAAATTTCAAAGAACTAACATTATTATGACTTATTCATATACCAACTTTGTAAAAGATTATTTTAATTTTTCTAGCTACAGCAACACAGAAGCAGACCAATTCTTTCCAAAATGAAAGCAACCAGAAATGTACGTAATAATTTCCAAAGTTCTGATAATAACAGAGTTTTAATTTTGTAATGTTCCCTTGAAATGAAAAAATAACCAGAGGTCTATTCAGGAGAAAAATTATAAAATTTAGCAATAGATGTCTGTAAATAAAGAATATAAGAGCTTCTTTTCTTTTCTTTAGCAATGAATATAAATACTAATTCATAAACACTGTACCCTATTTTGTCATTTGTTGGAATTTCCTATTGCTATAAAATCTTGAGATAAATAATTTTACTGTTATAAAAAAGGTATGTCTGTTCAGTGATTTAAAGATGTGTGTAATGTGACCGTTAGTCTGGGGACATTTTTCATGTGTGAACAAGATTATGGGATGAAAGGCTGCTGCTTAACAGTGTCTACGTGTTTGAGTCAGTGGTTTTTTAATTATATGTACCATCCTGTGCGAATACCTAGATATGTTTGGTACATACATGACATACTTTTGTAAATTTACACTGTATCATTTGAAACTATTCATATTGTTTCTTGGTAATTTGCAATGTTTCCTCAGCATATAATTGTAGTTGTCCAGAGGAATGGTTTACATATTCCAACAGCTGTTATTACATTGGAAAGGAAACAAAAACTTGGGAGGAGAGTATGATGGCCTGTGCTTCTATGAACTCCAGTCTGCTTTATATAGATGATGAAGAAGAAATGGTAGGACTTTAAATGTTTTGAATACCTTAATAAAAGCTTATTTCAGCCAGTAAAACATTTGGGGAAATAATCTATTTTCTTGTACGTATTTTGTCGAAATATTTTCAACAAAACAGATTATATTGCTTGACTTTAAAATAGTTTATTTGTATTCACCATCTGCTAATGCATATTTCATTACTTTTTCATAGAAACTATGCTTCTATACATGCCTTAATTATAAAAGACATCTTGCTATTTAATTTGACTATATATGAAGAAAACAAAGTATATCTTAATTGTGCAGGTTGATCACAAAATGAATAGAATCCTGAAATACAAATATCATAAAACAGAAGTTTTCAGCACCAGCCCTGCTCTTGTATATGAGCTTATCACTGCTACCTCTTCCCAAAAACCATTGGCCTGTGTTTTAATATTACAAATACTGCTAAGTCAGGTGCTAGGGAACAGCAGACCTACTTCATTTTCTCTGTTGGTGGAGTTTTGAAGATACCCAGCCACTCTGTTGAGCCCTGGACCTCAGGTTTCAAACCATTTCAGCATTCTATTTCAAACATTATTCAAAAACAAATGTAAAAATGGCCAACAAGCATATAAAATACTCAAAATCACTAATTATCAAATAAATCTAAATGAAAACTACAATGAGAAGCCAACTTACACCTGTCAAAATGACTATCAATAAAGGGAAAAAAATAACAAATGATCACAAGCAAGTAGAGAAAACAGAATACTATACACTGTTGGTGGAAATGTAAATTAGTACGACATCTATGGGAAACAGTTTGGAGAATTTTCGAAAATAAAAGCAGTACTATCATTTAATCCAGAATCACACTACTGGGTATCTACACAAATGAAAACAAATCATATCAAAAAAGAAACATTCACTTATACATTTTCTGTTGTATTATTCACAGCATCAGAGATATGGATGTAATCTAAGTGTCCATTTACAAATGCTTGAATAAAAATGTTTGAATAAAAATGTATTATGCATATATATATTTGCACATATGCCATATGTATGTGTGTTTATATATATACACACACACGTACACAATAACACATACAAAGAGACACATTCCTTAGGAAATACTCCACAACCCAAAAAAGCAAATCATGACTTTTGTAGCAACAGGAATAGAACTGGAGGCTATGATCATAAGTGAAATAAGTAAAAAACAGAAAATCATATACAACATGTTCTCATATGTAAGTGTTAGATAATTAGCAGGTACAAATGACATAAAGAGTGAAATACAGACCTTGATAGCACTGAAGGGACAGAGAGAGGGAGGGGGATGATGGATGAGAAATTATTTAATAAGTACAATGCACATTTTTCAGATGATGATTTTACTTCAACCTTGAATTTCAATACAAGGCAATACATACATGCAACAATACATGCTTGAATACCTTGAATTTACACAAAAAAATGTAGACACTACAGAAAAGTTTTTAAGTTTAGTATATTGTTTAAAAAATTAAGGATCTTCTGAAAAATACACTATTGTACTTTTAAAGCTAATACAATCTATCATAATGGTTACTTACATGAAAATTTTTGTTTTCTGTTAGAAACTTCTGGCCTCTCTCGTACGTGAAGCATGGATTGGAGTCTCCCGTAACAGTAGTGATCATTCATGGGTGTCAATAAAGGGCTCAGTGTTCAAACATAAGTAAGTTTTTTGGAACAATGCCATAAAGATGAAAAATATATAAAAGGGAGAAATTCAAAGAATAGTATGAATAAGCTTATGTTGATTTTTAGACACGAGGAAAGATTTTGAAAGCTAGTACAGTATTGCAATAAATATTACATAATGTACTACAGTACACCCCCTAAACCACAGTTTCACTCTCTGTGGTTTCATTGCCCAGGATCAACCTCAGCCAAAAGTATTAGTAGAAAATTTCAGGAAAAAACAATTCATGGGTTTTAAATGTGAATTGCTCTAAGTAGCATGATCAAATCTTTGATAGTATTGATCTCTCCCACCTGAAACACAAATCATTGTTTTTTCTGGAGTATCCAAACTGTGTATGCTACTTGGTGTCTGTCACTTATAGTCATCTAGTTATGAGATCTACTGTCTTCATAGTGCTGTTACTTAATAAGTGCTTAGTTTACTTAATAAGGGCCTCAAATGCAAGAGTAGTGATGTAAGCATATTGCTATAAGTATTATGTTAAATTATTGAGTATTCATAATCTCTTATGCCTAATTTATAGGTATGTATGTAGAGAAAAAACATAGTATTTACTCATATGAGTACTGACACTATTCATGGTTTCAGGAATCCACTGGAGTTAATGTCTCCCTCAAGGTAAGAGGGGGACTTAAGTTTTGTTTAATAACTGACTATTATAATATAATAAGTGTTCTAACCTCTTTTCATGGTATTGTTTTCTTAAAATACATGGATAATTTCTTATTTCACAGATTGTTGCCCAAAATAAAATGAATCGGGACTTTTTCTTCACTACAGGATAACAGAATATTTTGCTCAATGCAACTGTGCAAAGATAAGCTTCCAACTACTTAAGGCAGACAAATGTGGAGTTTCACAACAATATAGTTGTAAGCATACGTTTCAGAATTCAAACCCCTGAGTTTGGAGTCTATCAGGTAATTTTATATTTTATTAAATGAAAATAATATTTTGATCACATGTCTGAAAATGAATTATGTTGTTGGTTTCAGCAATGAAAATAAATTTCAAAAGGAGTCACTAAAGTATAATATACACACCACCAAGTACAGATATCACTGCTGTTGTGCCTGACTCCTTTTCCTGAACATTAGATCTGTGCCATTAGACCTTTCTAAAAGTTACATGTAATGTGAGTCTGTTTGTGTGAAATATCAAGAATAGGCAAATCCATATAGACAGAAAATAGAATAGCGGTGGCCAAGGGCTTAAGGTGAATTAGAAAGTGACTGCCAATAGCTACAGTGTTTCTTTTTCATAGTGATCTTTGTTGTAACTCAATGAATATATTAAAATTTTTAAGTGGATGAAATTTATATTATGTACATGACACCTCAAATAAAAAATAAGCGCTGATGTTTTGTAGCTTATAAATGGGATAATTGGGTTTCACATGAATATGTGAGATGTGCCTCCATAATCTTAATATGAAATTGGCATATTACTCATCTGGCATGATATAAATAAATAATGACATCAAAAAGCTCTCATGGGATTTACATTTGGAACTCCATTTAATCTGTCACATAATTTTTAAAGATTATGGATCTTTGTGGTGTTGACTTCTCTAACAATATTCAGGCCGTGATTGCTATGTTAAATTTTCTTTAATTTCTCTGTATCACACATTTTGTATTTTTTAGTTTTGAAGTCACACAGTAATAATATAGGTATTTTACTTTCTTGTTTTTGTAAATGGCATCTTTTTTTAAAAATTTATTTTAGAAATATATGTTGCTACAAGTGTAAATACCATTAAAGTCTGCACATTGATCGTATATTCAGTTGCTCCATTGATTTTATGTATTAACACTATAATTTCAAGTATAAATTGTTCTATATTTTCTAAATAATCAGTTATTTTATCTGTAAATGATTGCACTTTTATTTTTTCTCTCTAGGTGTAATGATTTTCTTTCTTGAAATATTTTCACTGTTGAGAGGTTTATTTCCAATAAAGCTTGTTTCTTTCGTTTCTTCTAGTCTCTTATTTTTGTGTAAGGAGTCTTGCTCTACCTCCAAGACTGGGGTGTAGTGGCACAATGATGGCTTATTGCATTTTGTCTTTTGTTGTGTATACATTTAAGAAAATCTATTCTGTGTATATTATATCCATTAGTCCCAGTTTGGTAAAAAAATTCATTTATGTTTCAAAATTTTCATCTTAACCTTCTCATATTGAAGGAATATAGTAATATTCTAATTTTTCTAATTGGTTTTTATCTAATGATATTGCATTTGTTGTGTTCTTATCAATATGTTTTATCCGTATAATGTTCACAATGTAAACTACAATTATCTTCAAAGGTTTTTTTTTTTCCTTATCTTCTATTATCTTTTTTTTGTGTGTGTAAGGAATCTTACTCTACCTCTAAGACTGGGTGTAGTGGCACAATGATGGCTTATTGCATTTTCTAACTGCTGCACTCAAGGAATCCTCTCTCCACAGCCTCCTGAATACTTAGTAACACAGTTACATTACATGTTACAACAAAGAGTAATTTTTTTTCTTTCTTCTTCTTCTTTTTTTTTTTAATTTTTGCAGAGTTTTGTTACCTAGGATGGTTTGGCTTCCTGGATTCAAATAATCCTCCTACCACAACCTACTAAAGTGCTAGAATAACAGATATGAACGTCTGCTAGGGTTTATTTCTTCCATATTTTAAACCAGTCTTGCGTTTCTAAAAAAAAATAAAAAAAAAAACGAAAACATAATTGTTATTGTGTAATGACCCTTTAAAAATAAATAAATGAATATATAAAGTTTTACTGCTTTACTTAACACTTTGACTATCAAAGCTGAATTGAGAGGCAGTCCTCTTTTTTCTGTAACTAGAACAATTTTTCTTTTTGGTGCTGTTTCATTTATAAAAATTCTTATTCAGTGGTAGTGATGTCGGAGTTCGTATAATAGTTTTGTAGAAAAGTTTTTAAAACAAAGTCAATTTCTTTAATACATGAAGGTTGTACTAGTATCTGTTTGTGGTACTGCATTTGGACAATTTTTATTTTCTAGATTAAATTCTATATGGATATTAAAATGTATACTGAATATAGTTAAATATCAATAATGATTGATATCTGTAAAAACCACAATGATTTCTCTTGTTTAATCCAGAAACAAAAATCTGTGCCTTACCTGATTTTTTTCATCAATACTCTTTCATCACAATTTTACAGTTTTTCAATAAAAATACTTTTGCTTGTTGGACATCCCCACTGTAATTGTGTTTAAGGTCATAATATCACACTATTTATTTTTTCCCTTCTACTACTTTGCTTTTATTTACTGGCAGTAAATGTCAAATTTCTTCATTTTAGATTTCCTCGACGAATTCTCAGATAATTCAATTTCTGTTTTTGTCTGTTGTTGTGTATACATTTAAGAAAATCTGCTTTTCACAAGAAAGACTTTATTTTCATGGGATTTTATATAATTTTGAATATTCATTGTGATACTTTTAACCCTTAGTTTATTTATAATTATATTACTGAATTACCAGTCAGTCAGTTTTCAAATGTTTGGTTAATGACTTATATTTTTAAAAGCTTATCATCAGAAGGTTTTCTGTGAAGTTAGAAGTTTTCTATATCTGTGTCTAAATGTAGCTATTATGACAGAGGAAGTGATATAAAAGTTACTAATTTTTTAGTTAATTAATACTAAATTTGAGTAACTGTATTCATGTCTCAACAGGTAAAGCTTGGCTGCCATGGTTCTGCATTGAAAATACAGCAGTGTATATTTATATTAAAATGTTTGGCAAGATGATATCGTAGTGTACTTTTGGAACATTTTTATGTGAACTTGAAGATATAAATATTTGACATTTGCATAGAGAGTGTATGTGTGTGTTCTTATATGTGTTGATTAATTGTTTAGCTTAAGTCTTCTATAGACTCACTGCAATGTCTGTATTATAAGCAGCAAGAGAAAAGTGTGAAATCCCTGTTTTTGAGGACCTGTTTAGGTGTTTCTTTCAATTCTATGCTGAACTTGTATTAGCATTCCATATAAACTATTTTAATAATATTACTAATGATTCGGTATAAATATATATTTTTTGAAGCATGCTTTTTCACTTGCAATAATGCTTTTTTCTTATATTATGACAGGACATTAACTTTAGCAGTTTTATTTGAGTTTTTTTGCATATATGTTTTCATGTTCCTAATTAAATTTTTCTTTAGGCTTATATAAGGAGTGTCTTATTGAAAGAATCTAGAGTTATTTTTATGATAAACATTCTTGGTAGCTTTTAAAACAAAAATAATTTTATTTCTATGTACTGAAGCCACCCATTTTAAGTATATTTATTTTTATGGAAATATCATATTTAATTGAAATAATTATAATACAATAGACTATATGAATTGAAAATTAGCAATTTTTAAAATTCCAATTTATTAATTTTGTCTTCTCCATTTTTATTGTTGACTTTATAATATACAGATTGGCTTATTTAATGTGCTTTAAATATTCTTTTATTAGTTCCCTGCATTTTACAGAATAGCCTTCTTAAACAGTGAAGAAATGTAACATTCCTTTCTATTGTTTGAATGTTTGTGTCTCCTCTAAAACTCGTGTTGAAACTTAATCCTTATTGTGATGTTATTAAGAGGTGGACTATAAGGTACCTCACAAAATTATGAGGTTTTGTCAACATGAATAGATGTGTGCCTTTAAAAAGTGCTGGAGGTAACAAGCATTTACTTTTTTTTCCCTTCTGCCTTTAGCCATGACTTTAACTAGAAGTATCATCTTGAAAGCAGAGAGCAGACCTCAGCAGACACTAAACTAGCAAGATTATTAATCTTGTTTCCAGCCCACAGATCTGTGAAAAATAAATTTCTAGTGTTTTCAAATTGCCAGTTACGTGTCATTGTGATATAACAGCATGAAGAAACTAGAGTGCAATCCTCTTTGAATTATTGATTATGCAACTACCAATCCCTCTTTTGCGCAA